AGCGAACAACTTCTTAATCGACGGTTTCAGCGGCGACTGATACTCGAGGCCGAGGCTGCTGACTAATCGATCGACAGGATGCGCAGTGAGGTTACACACATCTTTTTTTTCGCAGCAACACAAACGACGGACGTGGGCCAGTCCAGAGGGAAGCTTTCGGAAGGGCAGCGCAGTTCACATCCAACGGGGGCCCCTCGACACCACGGCAATCGTCATCTATGTCCCCACCCAGCCATAGTATGCCACGCGAGACCCCCGAACTACCTGCGGACCGTCAAGATCTCCCGACAGAATGGTACGACAAAGGTGCTGGCGGCCCTCCCGCATCGAAGCATTCCCAACCTCTACGCCGACCTCAACGATGGCCAAAGTCTGAGCAGAAGCCCTGGCACATGGGCAAAGGTGGGGACCAACGCGGTGGGGGAGAGAGAGAGAGAGAGAGAGAGAGAACAAAAAAAAAAAAGAGAGAGAGAGAGAGAAAGACGCTGTGCACGTCAGTGAAAAAGAAAAAACGATACAAACATAAACTTTTGGCGCTCCGCGCGGAGTTCTTGGATCTGCGCCGGACCCCCTCCCTGGCGCGCGGAGCGCGCCAAAGGCGGCGCCGGAGACGCCGCCAGGGGGGGCCCAGAGCGGATCCAAGAACTCCGCGCGGAGCGCCAAAGTTTATGCTAATGGCGTTTTTTCTTCTTCGTCGTCGAAGGTGAATGGGCAGGACAAGTGGTGCCAGCATGACAGCTATCGCAAAGAACACCGACGAGATGGCGCTAGAGAGCGACTTCGAACACTCCACGCGAAACACAACCTTGACGGCAATGCATACTCGCGCTGCTGACCTACACCCCACCTTCGGTATTGCTGGTGGGCTAAGCTGCATTGCTTTCATGTGCGCGCCCTCGGCGTGAGCGGTTTTGTTCGACAACGCCACCCGCTCTACAGGCTCGTTGCATCAACTCAGGCATACCGGGGGCGACCACCCAGGGATCATAGACCCATCTACGTACGTGGAGATGACTTGCATAAAGAATTGCGCACCACGTGAGAAGCGAATGAAGCTGGAATGGAATATGGACGGGATGATGGAAGGCCGTACGACAAAAAGTGAACAGACCCGAATTTCCCCCAGAGTTGTTGACGCCAGATTGCAGGCAGACGAGAACGCGTGGCGAGACCTGCTCACGCGTTGCCGACCCGACGAGACCTTCGCATATTTAGAAATACTCGCATACCAATTGGGCAGCCGTATCTCCAGGCTAAGATCACGAAAGACGAAATGCACCAGCAGGCGACGCGCCAACGAGAACAACTTCTACAGCAACGGGCGCAGATTCGATCACAGCGCGTGGACGCGGATGACGCGACCATCGAAGAGTGCGAGATCAAGCTGAAACAATCATCACAGCAGCCGAGGCTGCAACGACAGAGGATTCACAGGCAGCGACAGGATAACTTACTCCAGGATGTCCATGACGCATGGAACAGCAGGAGGCTTGCAGAAACCATGTGACTGGCACGACTTACAGGTGCCTGCATTTTCAGAGCGAAGAAGAGGGACGGCCGCCTCTTGAGCGGCAGCGCCTTCACGGAGGAGGGGTTGAGAACTCTCTGGGCACTGCCAAACTGCGCCAGCGGCATGCGGGCCATGAAGCAGAATGTCTCATAACTCCTTCTGCATTCCCTGATCCTGGACCATGCTTCTCGAGCGCTGCATGCTAGTATCCTGGACGATTCATGGCGGACCCAAACATATTTTCCAGACAGGCCAAAAAACGCTGAGCAGCGCCACCACACTACCCAGAAGGAGATCTGGCTGATGTGCCTCAAACCCGCACTTGAACATGACGAACACTGGACACGGGGTCGGATGGGACTCTTCTGTACCTGCTACGCAGTATGTAAATAATTGTTGCAATCAACATGTTGAAAGATTCGATCGACCAATCGCACGCCGGCCGCTTGGCATCACAATCCCGCAGCGCAACTTCGGATGAATTCCACGCCAGGATCAAAAGGCAGACGTACAGTACATGTGATAAATGCCTCGGGCAAAACTGCCTATCCTGATATGTTGCATGTTCCGAAAATATTTCGAGCACGGTCTCATACCAGATTGGCGGCGCGATGATGTGACTTGTTAATCAAGTACTGAGCTGGCACCTTCGCAAAGCTGAATGTTGTTTCGCAATGAGTTAAGGACCTGAGCAATGCTTTCGCTCGCGGGAGGTGGGAAGAGTTGGAGGAGACGGTTCATTTACACGCCAAACCAGAGAACGTGGACCTGTGCATCCGAAGGTTTTAAGAAAGCACGATCACTTTGGAAACCACGGAGGGGGAGGCTACGATTAAACCAGGAGAAGGAGGCCTCATGGTGCACCACTACTACGTAGTCCAACTGTTTCGCTAGACGTATCGCGCAGTAGAAGTACGCGATCCAGCAAGGGACCCCCTGGCCAGCAAGTTGACTGCGGAATGAAAGGATCTACGTGATAACGTGGGGGAT